CGGTCCATTGATTTTTAATGCCCGGGGCGAGATTCTAAACTAATGCCTTTATTTATTTAAAAAATAGTAAAAATGAAATAAATTTTACAATCAAACCAAAACAAGGTTATACAAATAAAAGTATACATAAAATTCATCTAAAACGATGCCTCCTTGCATTTTTTGAAGCAAAAACATCTATTATTTTATCATAATCAACACTTCGTAGGAATTGACTTTCAATACTCAAAATTGCTAATCCATTTAATCTTTCTTGAGTCATGGTACTTCGAAGATATGACTTCAATAACTTCAATTTCGAAAAACTTCTTTCCGCGGAAGCAACTGTGACCGGTACCGTCAACAAAATTTTATATGCCACCAACACATTGGGAAACATGTCCATCTCCTTTGCAAACTCCATAATTTGAATAGCTGTCCAAGGAAGTTCACCTTTATATGCTTCATCCGACAACATTTCCTGCAAAACTTGTAACTCAATAAATAAATCTTTTCCATCAATATCAAGTTCCTCACCATTTGTCAAACTAGTTTCAAGTTTCTTACAACATTTTTTTAATTCATCATCAAGTAAAGATTTTAACTTTGAACCATCAAACAAAAATCCAAAAATAGATTCAAAATGTTGCATTTGCTCAAATCTACTTCTCAATTGAGTTAGAGCCATATCTACTATAACAATAAAATAATCAGTTCTAAATTTTTCTTGAGATGATTGTTGTTCTCTTTCGGTATTTGGAACTTCATCAAATTGTTTTTTTCTACTATAAACACGTTTGATAGGAAATTTTGGTTCAACTCCAATATTTTCTGCTATGTTTTTAGCCTCATTAATAGCAGTGTCAAACCCATTTTCCCTATATTTTTCAAAATAATTAACTAATCCTTCTAAATTTTTTATTGCAACATCAAGAATCATATCTTTGGATTGTAATTTTTTACTTACCAAATTAATTCTAAATAAAATTTCATGCCATATCACTAAACTTAAAATAAATTCAAAATTAGAAAATTCACCATCTACTAATGATTCCGCATCTCTACAAACCTTACCATCATCACTCACTTGAGCTAATTTTGTTAATGCTTCTTTTATTTGAAAAAGTTGAGTTTTTATTGCTTTAACACTTTCAATGTGACTTTCCCAACGAGTAGTAGACAATGATTTTAGGGTTAACTCATCTACATGGTCAAGTAAAACACTCCATCTATGTGTGGAGCTAGAAAAAACATTATATATTGTTTGACAAGTACCAAAAAATGTTTTAGCTTTATGACAAGAGTTTGCCATATCACACAAAACTAAATTTAAACTATGACATCCACAAGGCATATAAAAAGCTCTTGAGTTTATATCAAGCAATCTTTTTTGTACACCTTGATGTTTGCCTTTCATATTTGCTCCATTATCATATCCTTGTCCTCGAATACAATTAATATCCAAGTCAAGAGATTTTAAAGCATTTTGTAAAACATTAAAAAGTCCTAAACCGGATGTATCTTCTACCATTAAAAACTCTAAAAAAAAACTCTTCTACTTTTATTGGAACATTTGCAACATCAACACATCTAATAATCAAAGTCATTTGCTCTTTACGACTTGCATCCGGAGTGCAATCAAGAATTACCGAAAAATATTTTTCTTTTTTTATTTTTCTAATAATTACACTTTTAACTTCGGATGCCAACAATTCAATTAATTCATTTTGAATTTTATGACTAAGGTAATGAAAGTGACTTTTTTTTTATCTTGAATAAGTTGAAAATGGTGTTTCATTATTGGATCAAACTCAGCAATCATTTGAAGTACACCTAAAAAGTTACCATTAGATTTCTCATATATTTTTTCATTAGTTCCACGAAAAGCCAAATTATATTCAGCTAAACATTTTACAACAGCAATAATTCTTACCAAAACTTCTTTCCAATGTTGAGTATCTTTTTTTATTCTTTCTTGTAACTCTTTATCAATTGTTTCATTTTTCCTTAACCTAAGTCGTGTTTGTGTCCAAGTTTTTAAATTAATCATGTGTTCAGAACTATGTTCATGTTCATTTAATTTTTCACTAAGATGTTTCCAATCATTAATTCCTTCGGTTGCCAAATTACTTCTAGATCTAGCTGTTTTAAATAACTTACAACAAAAACAAAACACTTTATCAAGTTCTTTTGAATACACCAACCACTTTCTATCATAAGAATCACCATTCTTTAATTTACGAATATAAAATTCACAAGAAAAATGTCTACCTAGTGCATCTTTTGGAAAAATTATGTTATTTTCAATTTCCCTAATTGGCCATTTTTCAACAAGCAAATCTTTCATTTTAAAATCTAACTTATCCCATACCCTTGGATCAAAAATATTAATCTCACTAGATTTATCAACAAAATCATTATTTTCATGATCATTAGAATTTTCAATAGGTTCATTAGAAGTTTCAATTGGACCTTTAGAATTATCAACAAAATCATTAGTTTCAACATCATTAGTATTTTCATCATTATTTTCATTTCTAACAAAATACTTATTTAAAGATCCTTGTAATTTATTAGTAAGATCCTGTTCTTTTCGTTTTCGTTTCCTATTTTGAGCACCAGATGGTTGTTTTCTAGGAAACATATTTAAACTTCACAACAGAAATTGTAATAAAAAAGATGTATTAATAACAAAGAAGGATACAACCTGAGATTAGTAATCCGTGAGATTAGCAATCCGTATCCACAACCTGAAGTTAACAATGTATCCACAACCTAAACAAAAAAATAGTATCTTTTAGATTTTCAGAAATTAAATTAACATACTATTCATAAATCAAAAACACAATCAGATTATTCAAAAATCAGAATTTAAAAAAATCAATAGATTATATTCATCCAATTATTAAGAATTCTTAATTAACATCTCAGCAAAATCAAAATCAGAATTCATATGGCATCTCATAAAAATCAAAAACAGAATTCATATACAGATAACAGATTCAACAATAGACATACTATATCAGATTCAATAATAGACATATACATAACTTATTAGCTTTACAGATTATATAAAAACAATCAAAATCAAAAACATAACTTGATCATAATTTCATAAAGCAAGAGCAGTAGAAGAAAAAGAAAGAAAAAAATTACCTGTAGAGCTTATGAGGACGAATTCATCAATCATCACAGTGTCGGTTCATCAATAGCTTGTAATCTGTATACACCTTTGAATTAAATAGAGGACGATTCAGGAAATTAGAAAGAAAGAATCAAAGAAAGAACTCAAAGAAGTAGACGATCGTCGCCCGGATTGCGATTGGCGAGAGAGAGAGACAGCCAGACAGGGCAGCGAAGGGCGAAGGCAATGGCCGTGTTCTTCATCTTCATTCTCAAGAAAAGACGCCTCGTGTTCTTCATCTTCAATTACTGGAGGTTTAGATCGAAGAGTCGGATGTACGCTCCAAGAATCCGCTGCCCTCTTTACCATTGAAAAGACGCCTTGTGTCCGCTCTTCGATCTGTCGGATGTACGCTCCAAGAATCCGCTGCCCTCCTTACCCTTGAACTGGTTGATTTTGCTGGACTTGGCCCAAATATACCTATAAACACTTTGAAAAATTGCTACCCCATAATAATTTGATGCCCTGGGCCATTGCCCAGCTCGCCCTGGGCTTGGGCCGGCTCTGTTTATTGTAAACCTGAAAATATACTGGGATGTAAGGTGTTTTTGAAAGTATATAATTTCACATTTTCAGTAGAAATCTCTGATAATTCCCATGTCTTTAGATGTGAAAAATTTGGGTCATTACAAAATATCTTTTTGGTGAATCTCAAATTTGTCTAATATGTTATTATTTGTAATCGTATATAATACCTAAATATGTATTGCGATTTCATTATGCTTAATAATGTGATATAATATACGATATAAATCTCTATTTTTTGTGCAATATATATAAGTCTGGAAGTAGAACACCCAACAGTCGTAATGTGCCATGCGAAATGGATTTACGAAACAAATTGCACATACCATGTAAGGTATAAATCACATGTATGTCACATTAATTACATATTATGAGTAAGTAATAAGAGCGAGTGGCTTGGGCTCCAAACATCATTAGATTGAGCATAATTGAGAATTTATGTGCGATAACGCTCATGGCAAAAATGGCCGATGACATATGGTAATTAATGTGCTTTTAGTGTTGGACTAGCATTAATGTGAGCTTTCATGAAGTTGGTTATATGGTCCCTTTCTAAATGGATTCTAACCGCCCATTCTTTAGGTCTAAATAAAAACTCCACTAGAACAATATGTTTTGTCACACATAAAAGGATAAGGAAACGAAGTGGGTAGCGGTGGGTCAATGTATATGTTTATATAATAATAATATAGATACTAAATAGATAAATAAATTAAGTTAGTAAAATATCATATAAAATATTGAAAGACAATTTTACGCCCCACTCCGAGTTCAACTTAAGGAGAGAAAAGAAAGGAAATGAGTGGAAGTGAGAGGAAAGTAAGAGAAATTGTGATCCCGAGTTTCATTAAAGGAAATAAGTAGATGAAATTTGAATGAGAAACGAAAGGAAATTGAGTGGAAGTGAGAGGAAAGTAAGAGAAATTGTGCTCGTGAGTTTCATTAAAGGAAAGAAGTAGATGAAAATTGAATGATCACTTTTTCCTCCTAACTTTTATTCCGATTTGGAAAGAAAGGAACAAAATGTTTAACCTTCATTCTGTTTCTCTCAAACTCGGAAGCACAAAAGACAAATTTATTTTCCTTTCTTCTCTCTTCTTTTTTCTTCTTACTTTCTTTTCTTTGCCACAACTCGGAAGCAGGGTGTGAGGTTGGCTGGGACCAAATCAGCAACAAAGTGTCATCATACCGACAAATTAACAACAATAAAACTTTCCAAACAAACATGCACAAAATGTTATAACAAAGGGACCAAACTTGTAATTCACTATTTTATTTATACTAAACAAAAGCCTTTCGTACTAACCAGTAACCAAGCGCCTATCATCGAGTCAACGTAATCTCTCCTTTGGCATTTTCTGACATTTTCTAAGCACATTCTTTCAACCACTTTTACGAATCTGAAAACCGAACAAATTTTCTTTACGATCTTCACGCCATAAAGTCGTACATCCAAAGAGAAAGCAGAAAATGGGCCATGGAAGTTCGAAATCAAGTTCAGTGGAAGAGTCTGCAGACTCATACTCATCCGGTGGCACAAATTCAAAACAACCACCGTCGTTTCGCGGAAGAATCAAGCAGAAATTACACCTCCACCGTCGTCCGGCCGCTTCACAGCATGCTAAACTCAACAGTCACGAGAATTTCGTTGGCATCGCTTTGGTTACTCTTATAAATGTAAGGTTTTGAGTTTTGATTCTCTACACAGTGTAACTGGTGTGAAGGAGAATTTTAATCACACTTCGTTATCATAATTTAGGCGGAAATGGAATTCAAGGACAAGTGGCTTGCTTGTATATCAATTGGAGAACAGACGTTTCGCACTGATGTTTCTGACCAGTTAAGTATAACCATAGTCTATATAAATTGTTGTCATGCTCACAGAAATTTCCCAAACTGAATACGCTGTGTAATTATTTGAAGCCAATTTCATGTTTTGGGGGTTTATTTATGAAGAGCTGTTGTAGAAATTTAACCTAAAAATGAATTACAAGATCTAATCGAGAAAGTTTTACACCATGAGGCTTCAGTATGAAGGATGCTAAACACTATTTCTAATCTGTGTCGTTGTCCTATCATCATGAAGCAATCAAAGACCTTGACCTGCTACAGAACATCCATGGATGAAGATTATTTTATTGATTTTTCAGTGGGATAATGTTTTTCTAAAAGTCAAAAGTAGTTATATCACAATTCATACCAATATATCTTATTATCTTTTAATTCTACTTTTGATTAACATGCAGGACCAACATGCCTACATGGAATTCAGTGAGTGAATCTCTTTAGTCTGTTCATCAATATCCAAAGTTTCTTTATGCGTCATTTGTACATAAGAAACAACCATCTAGGAATATCTATAGGGTAAAATGTAAATAGTCTGATGTTTTCAACCCTAGGCATCTTCACCAGAGATCTAATTTCTAAATTCTTTTCCTTATCTTTAGAGTTGTTATTTCTTTATGCATAGCAAAGAATGGTTGAGTGATTTAGTGTTTATTTCTCCATATTAGATCTTCTCTACCCTTGATGAGAATCTAAGAATCTTAGTATCACTCAAAAAAAAAAAAAAAGAAGATAACTTAAGCTATGGATACACTAAAAAATTAGTCTTGATATGGGAAATGGCATCATGTTTATTGTTTTTCTGCAGGAGAAAAAGTTTGTTTTGGAATTAAATGGCCCACACATGGCAAAAATATCAGTTTTTGAGGTTTGTGTTAAGATTAAACTTTATTTATGTTAATAATCTTTTTGGAATTCATTATTAATCACCTTTTGTTATGATTTAGACCAATAGACTCTCAAAGAACAACCTGGTTGGGTATTGTGAGATTGATCTTTTTGAATTTCTCAGTCAAGTAAGTTTCTTTAAAAAACAATATTTTATTTTTCATATGAAACATTATAATAATTATTGGTGTTGATTTAATCATTTAATGTAGGTATCAGATAGTGACACTGAAGTGTTTGATTTATTTGATCCATCATCATCAAATGTAGTAGTTGGAAAAATATCTATTTCATGTTCTATCGAGGTGAGCTGTAAATATTAAATATAATATAACACATTTTCAATTTTATTAATGGTTTTTATGTAACATATAACTTTTTAATTTACAGGATCCAATTGAAACAGAGAAAAGTTTTGCAAGGAGGATTTTGTCTATTGTTGTATGTATGCTTTGCTAATTTCTCTTATGTCAATTTTGTTCACATCAATTTTTTAATACTTTACTACTTTGAAATTAATAATTGTGCAGGATTACAATGGTGATGGAAAATTGTCATTTTCTGAGTTTTCAGAATTAATAAATGCATTTGGTAATCAACTTGCAGCAAAAAAGGTTTCAACTTATGATCTTTCTCTTTCATATTATTGACTTAGTGACCATTTCTCTTTGACTTAATGAGCCTAAAGGATATTGTATTAAACACTTAATCTATTTGTCCTTTTTTCCTCCAACTTTTGATAAATATTGTCAAGATTGATAAAGATTGTGAAATTTGTTTTTTGAAATGTAAGGGTAAAATGGTAAATTTAATCTTATTCAAATGATTTATTCACACTAACCCTTTGCCTATTTGTCCTTTTTTCCTTCAACTTTTGATAAATACTGTTGAGATTGATAAAGATTGTGAAATTTGTTTTTTGAAATGTAAGGGTAAAATGGTAATTTAATCTTATTCAAATGATTTATTCACACTAACCCTTTGCCTATTTGTCCTTATTTTTTCTTCCAACTTTTGATAAATAATGTTGAGATTGATAAAGATTGTGAAATTTGTTTTTTGAAATGTAAGGGTAAAATGGTCATTTAATCTTATTCAAATGATTTATTCACACTAACCCTTTGCCTATTTGTCCTTCTATTTTCCTTCAACTTTTGATAAATACTGTTAAGATTGATAAAGATTGTGAAATTTATTTTTTGAAATATAAGGGTAAAATGGTCATTTAATCTTATTCAAACAGTTTATTCACACCAACCCTTTGCCTATTTGTCCTTCTTTTTTCCTCCAACTTTTGATAATACTGTTAAGATTGATAAAGATTGTGAAATTTGTTTTTAGAAATGTAAGGGTAAAATGGTCATTTAATCATATTCAAACGATTCATTCAGTCTAGAAAACAACAAAAGAAACAGACTTCATATGTACAACTGCACATCACTTTATCCATTCAAGAAACATTCCATTAATCCCAAAATTATGTTAATAAAGTGCTTGATATCGATTTTTCAGTTGATTTTAATACTTTTCAATTAATAATTGGTTTTTACTTTTTTGTAAATACTTTATGTTTTTTTTTTACTAGAAAGAGGAGCTGTTTAAGGCAGCTGATGTAAATGGAGATGGGGTTGTTGACATGGATGAATTGGCTACACTTCTTGCTATGCAACAAGAAAAGTATGTTGTTATTATATTTTTATTACACATTTCACTTTTGAATAAATTGATTTTAGAACATATGAAAAATTGAATATGATGTATGTATTAAATTGTTTGTTTATTGTAGGGAGCCACTTATGAATTGTTGCCCTGTTTGTGGGGAGATTCTTGAAATCTCTGATAAATTGAATTCAATGATTCATATGTCACTCTGTTTTGATGAAGGCACTGGAAACCAAGTTATGACTGGAGGATTCTTGACTGATAAACAGGCTTCCTATGGGTGACATTTTTTTTTCTTTATTATAAAAATATAAAAACTTGTTTTATTATTATAATAATAATAATTACTTTCAACATGTTACAATTTTTTTTAAAGGTGGATGTTCAAACTATCTGAATGGGCCCACGTGTCATCCTATGATGTAGGCTTGAACTCTGGTTCAAGTGCTTCACATATTGTGGTATGCTTTCTTTCTCTCTCATTTTATTTATTTCAAAATCAAACCTTTTAACCTTAAAAAAAACAGCATTATGTTATTGTACATATTCACACTTAAAATATTCATTTTGGCATTTAGGTTTATGATCGTAAAAAAAAGAGGCTTGTGGAAGAAATAATAGATGGAAAAATTGTTTTATCAATGAGAGCTATTTATCAATCTAAAATAGGCCTTGGAATTTTGGACAAAGGTATTTTTTTTTCTTTATATAATATTATATATTTTATTGTATTTTACTATTTTATATATTGACACTCTCAGTAAGGATGCAGGTGCAAAAGAAATATTGCAGAGTTTATCAGAAAAGCAAGGAAAGAAAATGAATTTAATTGAATCTGCTAAAGACATACCAACATTTCTTGAATTCTTTAAGGCAAGATGATTTTTACTTTTTATTGTAAAACTCCATAAAAGTCCTTATATTTTGACCTCATAATTGATTAAGTCCTATATATATATATATATATATATATATATATATATATATATATAATTCACTTAGATCCCCAAAACCAGCAATTGTAATCATTTTGACCCTTTTACCTTTCATCCCACTTTCAAAATTTACACTTTTGGTCCAGATTTTAAATTTTATTCCAAATTTAGTCCAAGATTTACACTTCTGACCTAGATTTCAAAATTTTGTTACAAATTCATCATAAATTTGTTTTGTTTTGTTTTGTTTTTTTTTTTTTAAAAATTTAAATTTAAGATGAATTTTTAACAAAATTTTAAAATTTGGACCAAATTTGGAATAAAACTTAAAATCTGGGCCAAAAGTGAAAATTTTGAAAGTGCGATGACGAATGACCTATTGACTAGGTAAAAGGCTTAAAATGATTACGATTGTCGGTTTTTGGTAATTGAATAAAAAAAAATATAAGGACTAAATTGATTATAAGACCAAAATACAAGGACTTTTATTGAGATTTCCCTTATAAAAATGATAATTTTTTTAACTAATTTCTCAACTGACTTGTTTGTACTTTAGGATCAAATCAATTTGGCTGAAGTCAAGTACCCAATAGATCATTTTAAGGTAAGCCACCTGATAAATATGTTATAAATATATAATCTCTCTCTCTCTCTCTCTCTCTCTCTCTCTCTCTCTCTCTCTCTCTCTTTTGTTATTTTCTACTATCAGTTTTATAAGTTTCAGGAGTTTTTATATGCAGACATTTAATGAATTTTTCATAAGAGAACTGAAAATTGGGGCACGACCAATTGCTTGTGTGGAACATGATGACGTGGCTGTCTGTGCTGCTGATTCTCGTTTAATGGCATTTACAACAGCTGAAGACAGTCTTAGATTCTGGATCAAGGTATTTTTACTTCATTTTTAATTCACAGTATGATATCAAAAAACTTGGACATTACATGACTTTAGTTAACATTTGTTCTTAAAGGGTAAAAAGTTTTCTCTCCAAGGGCTTCTTGGTAATTTACCATGCTCCAATGATTTCATTGATGGCACCCTTGTGATATTTCGCTTGGCACCACAGGTGATTCTTCCTTTGTATTCTATTTTTATAAAACATTTGAAAAATTTACCCCATTAAAACTTTTGCATTTAACCCTAATAAGAAAATAGAAAGCTAAATATGTTGTACAAAATTTGGCAGGATTACCATCGTTTCCACTTTCCAGTTTCTGGAACTATTGAGCAGATTGTTGATATACCTGGATGCTTATACACAGTATGTACAAAAGATTTTATTTATTTAATTTTTGTAAATGTAAATGTTTTACAAATTTACATTTTCTATATATTACTGAAACTTGACGTGTTGATTAATCTGTAGGTTAATCCCATTGCTGTGAATAGCAAATATTGCAATGTTTTCACAGAGAACAAACGGGCTGTATCTATTATATCAACTTCAGATTTTGGCAAAGTAAACCAATAATTATACATAGAGTTCAATTAAAAAAAAAAAAACAGTTTTCATCATTCTTGAAACTTGATTTCAGGTAGCATTTGTGGCAATTGGAGCAACAATGGTGGGAAGCATCTCTTTCACTAAAAAGAAAGGAGATTATGTGCAAAAAGGAGATGAGGTTAAAAAAAATATATCACTAATCACTAATCACTACTCACTTCCTTCTTATTTTCATTTACTTACTCTTACTTTTCTTCCATTTATATTTATTACAGTTTGGTTATTTCTCTTTTGGTGGAAGCACTGTCATCTGTGTCTTCCAAAAGGTTAGCATAAATGAACATTTTACCCTTACATTCTAAAAACTAATATATCTAATTTTAAGATTGAAATGAATTTTCAGGATTCAATAGCACTAGATGAGGACCTTTTGGGTAATAGTGCAAGATCTCTGGAAACCCTAGTTACAGTTGGAATGCAATTAGGGGTTTCCATAAAGAAACACACCGAGCTTCCATTGCCAGATATCAACAACTGTGTTTTAGGCGCTTAAAAATGTATAACCTTTTTCACTACACTGTGTATCAAACCTACTTCACTTAAAGGTGTGTTTGTGTTTGTGTGTGTGTTTGTGTTACCTACGTTCTTGCAATCCATCTTTTTGATATTGCTGCCACATCATCTGCTTCTTCTCCATCTCCGCCATCTACAGTGGTGCCGCCACCGGAATCGAGGCTGAGAACGGGTCATCTCCGCCAATCAATGGCTATCCGGCGACACTACTGGCATTTCCGGCAGCTATGTTCCCGGACTTTTGCCTTGCTTGTTGATACATATCATCGATAACCTCTGGACTGAAACCGCCAGGTTGAGATGGCTGGTGGTTCGCCGGACCACCGTCATAGAAAGCTAATCCAACTTTATCAGCGTACTCTTCCACCGTCTGACCACCGTCTCCCAAGTTCAACACATCGTCCTGACTCAGTTTCCCTTCTTTCTTGTCCGGCTCCGGCGACCTAGCTTCTTCTTCCTCAGATTCTGATTCTTCTTCCGTCTGGTACTGACTCGTTCCGGATTTTTCTCTGATGAACTTATCCATGATATCTAATCGCTTTTGTGAAATTTTAGCGACTTCTGGATACTCCGACGTCCTTGCAAGGCCGATAGATTTGCAATAATCGTAAAAGTTGTCAAGCTCGTCGAACTGCTTTCTTACTCGTCTCAAAAACTCGTAAACCTTGACGGAATCTGAAATCTCAAGCTCTCTAAACTGACTTATCAGAATACTCAGGGCATCGGTCATGTCGTAATACATATAAATGCTCTGTTTCACAATCGGGTACAAAGCCACCATCACAATCCTGTGATTCCTCGCGGGACCTGAATGATTCAAAGTTTTCTGTCATGGTGAATGGTGATTCATATGGAGGAGAAGAAATAATATTAATTATTCCGCAACCTGTAGGGCGACAAGCGAGAAATCGCTCAAGGAGTTGCATCAGATGTTGTAGTCGAGAAAATAGGTTATCCTTCATCTTTCCATGTACCGGAGATTTTAGAGTCACCGGCTCCGGCTCCGGCTCATCGTCATGCTTTTCTCGGCCCCCTTGCATCCGATACTCGAGATATTCATCGAGATACAACGAGTAGGTCCGAATAAACGCTGAGAAATCCCAAGAATTGGTTCTCGACATGTCTCGGAAATCCGACATGTTTAACAACCGCGTGCCGCGTCTCGTGGCGTAGAAAATCTCTCGTTCGTACGCCCGATCTCCATCTTGAAGAAGGCGTTGAATGAGGATGAGTACTTTTAGGGCTACGATCCAGTTTCGGGTCTTTTCGAGTCGACCTGAGATCAAGCTGACACATAAGGCGACGTGGATTTGTGAGTCGTTTGTTAGGGTTATGATTTCTCGTATGTGGCGGTCTTCCGCCGGATACTCCGCGTGACGGGTCGCTTTCACGATTGCGACCTCGAGTTCCGGTAAGTCGGTGCTGCTGCTAACTCTGGCGAGGCTAATCCTAGTGTGATCCTTTACTTTTCCGATTGCTTTTCTAAACCTATCTGACCCCATCGAGTTCATTTTTTAGAATTTGTTAATAGGAAAAAGCACACCCAATTTTTTTTTTTCTTTATTTTTTTTTTTTGGTGAAGAAAAAAAAGGAGAAATGAAGATAGGAAAATTGGGTGGTTTGAAAGAAGCTTTCTCCTTTCTCCTTGATCGTTTCGTTTGTCTTTGTGTTTGATGAGGTTTCATTTTTTCTGTTTAGCTATGTGTAATTGGAAACCATATATCTCCCTTATTTATAGCATGAAAATGTGGAGGACTTGATGCTCTCCATATTGTTTCGTTGCTCTGTCATTGTTGATGGATTCATTTCCAATCAATTTGATCACCATTTTTTTTGATTTTTTCTTTCTGTCATGGAAGGATATATAAACTGACCCATAAGTCATCAATTACACATGGATTTCATGTGTAATGTTTGTTTTGTATTTCATATGCTATATAATTTATAAACTTTTTGAATGGTTGAATTAAATTAAATTAATTTATTACTACTGTTTTATTATATATTCTAAAATATATACTATATTTAAATTACAGATAATTTACTTATGTTAAATTATTATTAATTTTAATAGTTGCGTTATGTTTGATAGAAAAAATATAAATTAGGTGTTGACAATGAATGTAAATCGGTCCGGACCAGAACCAAAAACCAAAAACCGAATTTTAACAAACATAGGAATTAAAAACTGAACTGATTAAATCGATTATGGGCCATGGGAGACCATGATCCCCTCTTTTTTAACCTTCTAATGTCACGTGACATTCTAAGTTAAAAAAAAATACACATTAACCATTGTTAGAAATAATATATCTCATTTATTGTGATTTGTGAATGCCAATCAGGTGATTAGTGATTTTTTTTTAACATATAACATTATAATTATATTAAATGTAATTAAATCCATTCTTTTTAATTGCTCCAAGTCATTAGGATTTAGGACGATCTTTTTTTGGGCAATCGCTGAACCTTCTTATATTATGTATTATCATTATCATTATTTTGGAAAATACCAAGTTATTGATTTTTAATTTCGGTTTCGGTTTTTCGTTTATTATTATTATTATTATTATTATTATTATTATTATTATTATTTATTTCATAGATTTCTTCATCGACAAATGTTGTTACAATTTAACAAAAATAAATAATTTGCTAAAACATAATATAAGAGGAAGTTTGTTCACATTTAGTCATTGAACTTTTTTAAAGGGAAACAAACTTTCGATTTCGTTTACATTTAGTCACTAAACTTTTTTTCGTTAGCTATTTGCCACTGAACTATTGAAATTGTTCACATTTTACCCTTATGACCGGTTGTTACCGGTCATAAGGGTAAAATGTGAACAGTTTCAATAGTTCAATGACAAATAGATAACGAAAAAAAGTTTAGTGACTAAATGTAAACAAAATCAAAAGTTCGTTACCCTTTCAAGTCATTATCCCATTAGACGTTGACAATGGGTGTAAATTGGTCCGGACCAGAACCAAAAACCGAATTTTAACGAACATAGGAATTGAAAGCCAGAGTGATTATACACCATGGGAGGCCATGATCCCCTCTTTTTTAACCTTCTAATGTTCCGTGATATTCTAAATTAAAAAAAGAATATACATTAACCATTGTTAAAAATAATATATATCTCATTTATTGTGAATGCCAATGAGGTGATTAGTGAGTTTTTTAACTTAGAAAATCATGTAACATTATAATTATATTAAATGTAATTAAATCCATTCTTTTTTAATTGCTCCAAATCATTAGGATTTAGGACGAGTTTTTTTTGGCAATCGTTGAACCTTTTTATATTATCATTATTATAGTATGACTGTGTTTATGAAATATAATCTTGAACTTGTCCATTAATTTTGTGGTCAATCGTTGTGTACATCACCAACGTGATTATGCAATAATGCAAACAGGTTTAGAAAAAGTACCAAAAAGACTCCGATTTTACATAGAGTACCAAACAGCCCCTAAATTCATTTTTTTTTAATCAAAACAACCTGATTTTTTTTTTTTTTGGTACTAAACCGGTTCTTTTTGGTCCCAAAGTAAATTGTACATGCTGTTCGGTCCTTCCGGTTAATACCCGAACCGGAACCGGTCCTGGTATTACCTATCCCGTTTTCTGTTCCTATATTTGTTCAAATTTGGTTTTCAGTTCTGGTACGGTTCAGACGGATCAGTGTACATCCTACCTCACGTGTGGAATTTCGCACCTCAATCACTAGACTCTCATCATGGGAGATCGTTGTACCATACATTTACAAATAAAATAATTTTGGTATATTCTCGGACCATTTCCAGGTTATTAGTGCATTTTATGTTGCTATTTCTAAAGAGACACATCCATCACATATTTACAAACCTAATGATTAAAAGTGTTGGTGATTTAGTACTCCACCTCATTTGAATGTAAACAATCTAACAACTAATTTTCTGAAATATAGTATTCCTTAAATATTTGAACTTATTTTATTATGCCTTTTTTAAAACATAAAAATGAATGTAATTATGTACCAATATTTTTTCAAAAGGAAATTGAGTAATCTAGCCCTTATAAACAAACATTTTAATAAAAATAACCAACAATTTTTTTTGGAAAACGACCAATTGATTCAGAATACCATATTCTGAACGATGTTTTGTTTCGGAGGTGTGCTATGGAATACGATATTCCGGAGTATTTATGATCTTGTTCCAAAGTAGATATCGATTGGTGGGGATGAGGTCCAGAATCTCACTCTCCGTACCTTCCAGACTGGAAAAGTGTATTCCGGAATGACGTCTGGAACGACCGTACATTCCGGAGTGGTGATCCGGAGAGATAGAATTAAGGGTTCTCTATGTTTTTCTTCCAAATATGCAATACATTTGTGTTTTTAATATATTTGTGTGTTCAATACTTTCCATAAATGTTCCGAAATGAGTACGTATACGTTTTTTTTTTTTTTTTTTTTTTTTTTTTTTTTTTCCCGAGTTCCAGTTTCTAGTGGAGAGCGTATCGATGGATGTATGCAGTATCTTGCTCCAGATTACACATGCTTTGGTGTAGATATAAGCAATGATATCAACTTCGTTGGGTTAGTTGCACTGGTTGCTTCCAAGTCCAGCTCACACACTAATCAAATTTGTCTATCTTTTAAATGTTCTGGATCAAATATAGTTATGCAGATTCTTGACGATAGTGATGTTAGATATTTTCTTAGTTTACTACTATGCCTCCCAACACAGTACAATTGTTTGTTGTTAATAATGTAATAGAAAGTGGTACCAATCGATTTCCCGGGGAAAATCATTCTAGAAATAGTTCTTCCGGTGTTGGAAGTAACCAAAATTATAATTTATTACCTATGACAACCAACCATGTTCCTTTTTACAATGACGTTATACATGGGGGTGATTATAGGTCTAAAGGTAAGGTTGTTGTTCACACTGACCTTAGTGTTGATGTTGATGAATCTACAAATGATGAGGCAAAACTAATGATGTTGGTTGATTATGGTAATATAATTCCAGATGGAGAACTAGTTGAACATTTTCAGAGTTACACTGAATTTAATAGGGATGATCATAACGATGGAGAGGATGAAATCGATCCATTACAACCCCGGAAATCATAACAGGAAAAGTTTCCTTTTTATTTTTCTGATTTTGAAGAAACACAACCCACCCATTGGGGTATGCCTGAACCTTTACCACTGCCCGAATTTGTTAAACAAAATCGGAAAGGGGCCGCAATGCACAACTGTAATTCCCATATGAAGTTATTCCAACTCTTTAAAAACAAAGAAACACTTAAGCTTAAATTAAGAATGAAAAGTGTTAGTGAAGGTTTACAATATAAAGTGGAAAAGTCTACAAAAGGCAGGTTTGAAGTTGTTTGCTATATGGATAATTGTGACTGGCGGATTAGGACAACAAAACATAGTACTACTGATACATTTCAAGTGATTAAACTGTCGGAGAAACACACTTGCTCAAATAAACAGTTACGTTCCCATCACCAATAAGCCAATAAAAACGTATTGGGTTACTTCTTGAAGGACATATTAGTTGATACTATCGATAATATTGTTGGATTAGTGTCTAAGTCCATAGCTATTTTGGTATGTACTTGACCCGATTATAAGCATGATCCTTTTGGGTTGCCTTCACCATAGCAATCTGTAGGATGAATTAAGAAGAGAAAGGTTTGATTATGATTTATTAATATATTATGAGAATAATATATTAAAGGAGAAATCATATTGTTTAATTAATATTAGTCAAGAATTAATTAAGAATTAATTTAGTGACTAAAAGAGATTGATTAAACTTAGGGGACTGGAGTTGTACTTATAAGATAATTGCAATTGGGCTATGGATCACCTAAGAATAATAGGTTGGACGAATCCTATGGGGAGCCCATTAGGAATTCGTCCAAGGGATATTCTAAAGGGGTCCATGGGCTGCTTAGGGCCTAAGTAGTCAGATTAGGGTTTCCTAAGTTCAAAACCCTAATAGCCTAAGTATATAAAGAACCCTTAAGCCCCCAAAACGTGGCTATCCTTTAGAGAGGGTTTCTGGACGTCTTTTGGGTGCTTTTCTTCTTCTCTTCTTCATCCAGTTGCTTAGTGGTGTTTGTGACTCCATTAGAGGTGTAACACTTGAGGCATTAAGCTTTCTGAAGCCAATTACAAGAAGGAATAGATTGTAATTTTTACATAACAATCAAAGGTAATATCTAAACCCTAATTCCGTTCATAGTATGCTAGATCTAGGGTTTGAGAGCTTTGGATGATTATTGCATGTACAATTAGATAAACCTAGATCCAAAGTTTAGGGTTTTGCATGTGCACCATAGGAATGATGTAGTGCTCATAACCCATCAGTGATATCAGAGCCTAGGATGGTTTATTCTAATGTATTTGGTGCAAAGTTTTTTCGCTTATAGCTGAAAATTTTTGTTTTTTCGAATTTAACCAGTTTCATGTCATGAACATGCTGTTCATGTCGTGAACCCAGTCTGACAACATGATTTCGAAAATCTTGCCTTAATTAGCTTTGGATAATTACCATAAATTGCTTTATTCACATAAAAATCAGATTTTTTTGTTATGGTAATTGATATCCTAA